TCTCAGTTCTCCACTAGAAATTCTTTCATACTGCTACACCAACATTCATCACATCTCTGAAATTATTATTTTCTCCCCAAATCTTCACTACTCCAAGCTAGAGACACTGGAGGGCAGACAACATACATTCACACAAATCACTAGCTTTTCCTCCCAAATAACTACAACCACATTCTAGGAATGGGAATGCCCTCACATTCCACCAATATCTACTCTATATATGGGCTGATAGATATGCTACTTTCCTTTTTGGATTCTTTAATTCCCCCTCTATTCTAAGTTCCATTTCCTCACATTTTAGTTTACATTGTCTACTCACAGGCATGGAATTTGGCCAAGAAATTGTAAATGATGCTATAGGGGTGATCTGTATGAGTCTTCTAATTATTTCTCCAGACAACCCCTCAGAGTTATCATTCAAATATGCTCCCTAGGTCTAATTCTTCATTTCTGACATCACTGAATTGAATCGAGATACAGAAAATTATGTCTCTTCTAGAGAAGACCACAGGCTTGTTTGTATTTGAAAGGCTCACCAAAATTTTCATTTTTTCCCTCTAATTGGATTGTGTAATTTTTCTTCCTTAACAATTTATAGACTCTGTTCAGTTTTCTTAGTAACTGCACAATTCAATCTCCTGTGTGGACAACAAATATTTCTTTCTTGTGTCTACCATATGTTGCATCAAAGCAGAAACAACTTACAAAATTCTTTCAGTACAGTTAAAAGAATGCATGTTTTTGGTTTTTTACTTCCTTTATTAAGCTTTGTTTTTCTCTTCTATAACTTAATTACCTGATGAGATATTAATAACATAATGTATGTAAAATAGGCAATTAATTGCTTTGCACATGATGGCTGACCAATGAATGTTGAGTACCTCACCCCCGATTTTGTTATATTTTTTTATTCTTTAGTCCATTTATCCTTTCATACATTTAAGCTTTTATCTTCTTTTTCATTCATCAAACTATCCCACAATTACATCACCCTCCATCCTTCAATTCACAAAATCATCAATTACATTTTATGCTACATGTAACTCTGCTGAGTGCTGAGGATATAGCACCAAAAACTTTCTGCCTTTTAAGAATATCTCAGTCTGGGGCCTCCCCGGTGGCACAGCAGTTGAGCGCTGGGCTGCGAAGCTGCCCGCAGCCTCTGTAGGTCGGTTCGATCCCCGGCCGCCGGCAAGGGTCCCACATGGCGCGCAGACCTCTCCTGCCGCGCCTGCTGCTCCCCTCAGTAGTGTGTTTTGTCGGTCTGTCTGTTCTGCTCCCTGCTCTGGCTCTGGTGAATTCTCTCACCCTCCCGTGCTTCTGACTGTACCCAGTGCTTGTATAAATAAATAAATAAATCTTTAAAAAAAACCGAAAACAAAAAGAGTATCTCAGTCTGGAGGGAAGAACTCCATATAATTCCCAAATAGCCCTCCACATGATTCACAAATACAACTGATATTGAGAGAGAAAATAGCAAAGTACAATGGAGAGTAACTATAAGTATTAGAAGTATTTGATAAATGTTAAGACTATGCTTAATAGTCTGGAACCTACTAGACACTTTATTTCATTTAATCCTCATAACAATAATTTCTATCATAACATTATAATGATATTAGAGGCAAAGAGGCTGAACCTTAAATAAGTCAGTCAAATGACGAAAGTCAACATGTGAGTAGATCCTGAACTTGACCCCAAAACTCCTTCCTGTAAATACTAAGCTTGTGATTTTCATGGACAAGGGGCTCAACAGCTATCTGGTACAAAAGTGAGGGGAAGCTTAACTGTATCCTCCAGTTTCATATTTATGCCATCCAGAGCAGAGAAGAAAAAGATCTTGGGTGATAAATAATAATTAACATTAGCCTCTTGACTGTAAGAAAATAGCCCAGTTCCTGAAAACACTGATTAGACAACTGAACAGGAAGAGGCAGATGAAGAGGTCATAGCACTTGGGAAGTCACTATATATACATATTTATTTTAGACACACACACACACACACACACCCTACACACATATACAAACATATTACTGATCCTTCTGCCAAAAAAGGGTACTCTTTTTTTTTTTTTAAAGATTTATTTATTTTATTTATACAAGCACTGGGTACAGTCAGAAGCGCGGGAGGGTGAGAGAATTCACCAGAGCCAGAGCGGGGAGCAGAGCAGGAGAAGGACCGAAGTACACTGCTGAGGGGAGCAGTGGGCAGCAGGGGAGGTCTGCGCGCCATGTGGGACCCTCCTCCAGTGGCCGGGAAGCAGCCGGGGATCAAACCGGTGGTGCAGAGGCTGCGGGCAGCTTCGCAACCCAGCGCTCAACCACTGAGCCACCGGGGAGGCCCAAAGTGTACTCTTTGACTCTCCATATTCTAGTTGTGTCTTGTTGAGAGGGGCAGTGCTTTTCTAACTGTTGTTGTTGTTTTGGGCCTGTGCAATAATTTCTATGGCATGTCATGAGGAAGAACAACATGTTCAACATTATCTCAGCTAGCCTCTCTCTGAGTGCTTGTCACAAATAAAAGCAATTGATTTCTTTCTGCTTTTACTTTAAACTAAAAGTTATCCCTTGGTCTCCCTTCTTTTCCTCTCCCTTCCTCTATAATTCTGTCCAACAGCCATCAGGAGAGACTGAGAAAGGCAGGTATGCGATCAGGAGGATTGGAGCCTGCACATGACGGAGCCTGTGTATAAGTCAGCACAAAGAGGTGAGCAGGGCACAAGGGGGGTTGGGGATAGGGGGAGGGGGGCAGCAGCAGAACAGTACAGGATGCTGGTGCTCAGTGAAGACCAGCCTCACAGACCCCACTCTCATCAAACCAGCAAAGAGATTATCTTCAGAATTGAGACAGGTCAAAATTGTGATAAGAACACAGCAATATTTCTGTCATATTCCTGCCCAAAACATTGTATAACATGAATCCAATTATGAGGAAACACCAGATCAGCCCAAACTGAGGGAAGTTATATAAAACAACTGTCCTATATTGTGTAAATCTATAATCTGTAAGACCTGTGGAAAGGTCATGAGAGTTGAGCAAAGCATGGTGGGAGAGGGGTTCTGGGGGTAGAAGGAGACCCAAATTGACATGACAACTATATACAATTTATGATGGACTGGATTCTTTTGTTAAAAAGATGCTACTGGCACAATCAGGAACAACTGAATTTAGCATTACATTAAGAGAAAACAGATCAATTTCAATTTTTTATGATTTTGATGTTTGTATTACACTAATGTAAAAGAAAGTCTTGGCTGTAGATATCAGAAGCTAGCATTTCCCAGGGATATAATGCATCATGTCAACAACTTACTCTCAAACAGTTCAAAACAAAAATTTATATCATACTTAAAATTTTTGAGTAAATAGAAAAGAGCTTTATAAAAATGTTTTAATATATTAAGATGAGGTATAAACATCCAGTCTTTAAAGAAGTGTCATCTAACTCTGGGTTCAAATTCAAGTCTGACCATTAGTAGTTCTGTGATATGCATAAACCATTTAATCCCATACATTTGTGTGGTGTGGAAAGTATTGAGGATTAAGCTCTACAGTGCATGAAAAGTGATTAGAAGTATGTTTGACACACAGAGGTACTAAATCAGTTTAGCTATTATCATTACCAATACAAATTATAATTATTTTGTTGAGTGATTCATTTCTGGGGATTTATGAGAAATAAGCTAGGATTTGCAGTCGGAGAACCCTAGGCTCAGATGAGCACTAATTGACTAGATGGCCCAGAGAAAATTCCTTAATTTTTGTGAAATTCCATTGTTTTTACATCAACTTCTCTGACCTCACCACAATCATAACTCATCTTGACTTACTAATTCCAATCTCTACTGGCTTTCATTCATTTCCTCAAAAACATTATGTGGTTTCTAACTCCAAAGAATCATATGTTCTCATTCCTCTTCCTTATATACCTTTTCCATTCCCAGGCCTGGGGGACCCCACTATGTCAGAAACCTACTTAAAATCCAGTTCTCATAGTTCCTGGTCAGTAAGCTACTGGCCTTTACAGGTCTTTATTTTTTATAGGGCCGATTGAAATTTGCAAAATATTTTTTTCCTTGTTAATCCTCTGTATCTTACTCTGGACAAAAATGTTCCTGGAATTGACACACACAAAAAAAGTTCCTGAAATCAGTGTTTACGTCTGTTGATTTCTATTGCATTCACCACAGTGAGCCAGCATATAGTAGATGTCTCTGAACAATTACAGAATGAATGAATATACGAATGAGCTGAGCACAGCACCAGGCACTGGAAATTTGTTATGGTAACTCCACAGCAATTCTACAAAGTTGACAGCAAAACAGGTACTAGTATCACTGTTACCATAAACACGATCTCGCTTTTTACCACAGGTCAAAATAAAAAGTATCAGTAGATCTTGACAATTTTCAAAAGAAAACTAATTATTTGCTGGTATTAAACTTCCAGACAATTGAATAGAGGATCCTCACTCAAATTATGTAAAGAGACAACACTGGATGCAAATTTCCTGTTCCCACTAAAAATGAATGATTACTTCAGAAGGAAATAATTGCAACTAAATGCAACTGTTATGTATAAGACTGATGTGCATAATATTCCTCTACTCCTCCTATAAATTAAAACAATTCAGGAACATATTATCAGCAGACACTTATGAGAAGATGTGCTTACAGTTGCCACACTGATGATTCTAGTTGAATAGGAACTTTTCTTAGAGATAAAGACGGGAAAATGAACAAATAACCTCTTTGTTGTCGCATACGAATGACGTCCCACAGAAAACGAAGTTAGGTAGCATGAAAATATGAGTTTAAGTTACTTAGACGCAGGTTTTTAGGAAACAATTTATACAGAGTTTTAAACGGAAGAAACAACCAGAAAATGTTATTTCAACTCTGGCATCTCCTGTAGTAGCTCTAAAGATGGGGCAGATTATCCACCAAAACAAGTCTCAGCTTCCTCATCTATAAAATGGGGAGAATAATAACTCTTACCTTGTAATGTTGTTCGAGGAATCAGCTAAAATAACATGTCCTAGGTAATTTCTTTCAGCATCTTCTTACAAGTAGCTCTGCCGTAAAACATTTTCGTCGCACAACTCGTCATGAATTTGGCCGTAAAGCAATTTTGCTGTAAAAGAGGAAAAAAAAAATAGAAGAGGAGGGCCTCCCTGGTGTCGCAGCGGTTGAGCGCTGGGTTGCGAAGCTGCCCGCGGCCTCTGGGGCGCAGGTTCAATCCCGGCTGCTCCCCGGCCACCGGAGGAGGATCCCACATGGCGCGCAGACCTCTCCTGCCGCCCGCTGCTCCCCTCAGCAGTGTACTTCGGTCCTTCTGCCTGCTCTGCTCCCCGCTCTGGCTCTGGTGAATTCTCTCACCCTCCCGCGCTTCTGACTGTACCCAGTGCTTGTATAAATAAAAAACAAATAAATAAATATATAAATAAAACATGCCTCTATAAAAAAAAATAGAAGAGGAACACTCATGCAGACATCATGAAACATGAAAAACTGGTAACAAAATTTAAAATACAAAATATTCTAATACAAATGTAATGTGAAAAAGACAAAAAACACAAAATACAGAATATTCAGATACATTGAAAATAGGTGTTGATTCATGGCAACACTACAAAAGCAATGGAGTGTGTGTGTGTGTGTACATGTGTGAGTGTGTGTATTGTACCTAAGTACTAGTCTCCCAGGTCTTTGGACATTCATAGCAATAAACTTTTTCATATTATTCAGTGATCAAGTAACATGACAGCCCCCAGGGTAGGGGCAGGTTTCAGGTTCCGTGTGCCACCCAAGGAAGGGCGGAGCAGAGCAGAGAGGAGGAGAAGCTGGAGAGGGGACTGGAGAAAATAAGGAAGGGAGGAGAATAGTGAGCCAGAAGGAGACCTGCAGGAGAGACATAAAACAGAGACACGTGAAGAAGTGACCCTTGCTTCCTGGTCTTGGACTGGTTAAAAGACCAGTTTTTGTTACCAGTTTTTCATGTTTCATGATGTCTGCATGAGTGTTCCTCTTCTATTTTTTTTTATAGAGGCATGTTTTATTTATATATTTATTTATTTGTTTTTTATTTATACAAGCACTGGGTACAGTCAGAGAGACCTGGGGGAAGGTTGCCAATGGTAGCTTTTATCTTGATTTTGATTTTGTTCTTTTCTTTCCTGTCTATTCTTCCCCTATCCTATGGGTATCCACCAGAAGGTGCTTTAGACAAACTTTTGGGCCTCAGTGGTCCTGCTTTTACTGATGAGATAACTGACACTTAGAGCAATTTAGCAACTTACCTATAAAAACTTAAAGTCAATTCACAATGAGCCTAACCCAGGGGCATAAGGAAAATGCTCAATGGCTTCCTTCTCTGATAAAAACATCAATGAAACTTGATTCCGACTCCTCTTCTGGTAGAAGCCAGTGATGCTGACCAAGAACATTAGCTTTCAAGTGACTTTAATGGTGTGTGTGCATGAAACAAGATGTTTCTCGGTGGAAATGTTTTCTCTTGTGTGTCCTATAAAACAGATCATCCAAATGACCCCAAAGAACAAGTGTCTGTCTGGTTGGTAGCATCTGCCAGACTTCCCTTTAAGCTGCCAGAATCCAGGCCATGGGCTATCCACTCTCTCTGCTTCATTGCCACCCTTGCCTCGGGCCCTGCGGAAGGTGCACTGACTCTGTTTTACTTCTAGAGGAGCTCATTCTCTTTTTATGAGGGAAATTTCTTGAAGCAAGGACAATAATACTAAGTTACTGCTGTGACTGCTTTGCTGAATATTGAGTAGCACTGAGTCGGACTCTATGCTAGATGCTTTAGATACATTATCTCTAGCAATTAAAACAAACCTGGAAGTGGAAATTAGTATCCACATTTCATAGAGCTGAACTGCACTGTCCAATGTCACAAAGCTATGAGAACGAAACCATGGGGTTAATTTAGGTCTGTCTGACTCCAAACTCATGTGCATCCAGCTACAGAAAGGTTTATAATTATCCTAGTACTTTCTGCTATCATTATTATTAAGACAATTAAAAGCTAATAAATGGTGGTGAACAGTTATTCATTATTCTGTTAATCTAATGACACCTTAGATTGATATAGTGCAATAAAATTTACATATGCATTTTATGTGCTTTACTTCATTGGTTCTCACACCAGTCCTATGCTTCTCACTTGCAGCTTCCCCTCCTCCCACACTCAGAGGACCTTCTAGATACATTCAGATATCGGGTACTGAAGTTGCTAGGGTTTTTGATTATTATTTTTCTTTTACTAGATCACTAGGTGATAAGAACAATACCATATGCAGCCTAAATAAAAAATTAGAAGAGTCTATATATATATTTTTTTCTTTCTTAAGTACCATATTATAATCTAATTGAAATCTCTGAGCTAGCACATGGAGTTTAACTCACTCAAAGGGGTTATATGCCAATTTGGGGGAATTGTTTTGCCTAGCTTCAACTAACAAATGTTAAGTTATAGCTTTCTACTGGCCTGTCCAACTTCCATGTAATCTCATTAAAGAAAAAATGTCTACATTTTCTCTAGCCAGTTAATGGGCAAAAACACTTTTGCATACATTAGATCACACTGACCAACAGATTTCAGGTATAGTCTCAAAAATGAGGTCCATTATAGGGAAGAGAGCAGAGATAGAACTTGGATGTGGAAGTAAAAACAGAATGCGAGGAAGGAACAACCAGCCTCAAGGGCAGCCATGGGGAGAGGTGGCTCAAGAGGGGTCACAAATGACTCCAGAGGTCATGAGGATTTTACTTAAATTACTCTGAGACCTTCACATTAAAAGTAAATGAATATTATCTAACATAGAAGGCCAGTGATTATAGGGTTTAAAAGATCTACCTCTGCCTTTTGCTCCTCTTCATTTTTCAAATGACAGTTTAATGAAAGGAATGCAAACATTTGAATTGTTCAATAATGAGAATAAAACTGGCACCCATTAGCTGGATTCTTTGTTGGGATGGAGATGCTAATGAGCAGTCAGCATTCACAAAAGCCTCACCTTAGTATAATGAGAGATTAGTAAACTAGATTGCATTGCCCCCTGAAATTGTGCATTTGAATCATCTCTCCCTACAAAGCAGCTCTTTCCAAGTGACACATTCTATAGCAGGCCAATAACTCATTTCTGCCTCCCTGAAGGTTTCTCTTTCTATCTCTGAACCCCAAATGCATTTCTCATAAATATTAACATTTGTTAGTGGGGGATCTTAGGCCAATTTGAATTTTTGAGAATTGGGATGTGATTTGACTTGAAAAGAGTAATGAAGTTATTGTGAATCCAAGGATAGAAATGAGATTTGCAGAAAAAATATTTGAAACAGTGTAAAAGTAAGTGACAACCTATGGTTTCTTTAATTACAGTTCAAACAAGGAAAACCACCACAGCACTCTTAGGCCCATATTTTACAGCCTTAAAATTGGATACTGACCCTCTAAGTTCACTTTTTTCCCTTTCCTCCAAAGCTACAAAATCACCTTTGAAAGGTTTTTTAAAATATAATTATTTTTATACATTTTACATCATCATTCATTTTTGCACAATGTTTGCTTTCTCCTCTCAGGTGTAGCCCTCATAGAATTCCAAACCAGCAGTTCTCCTGTGCACCATCACCATGAAAAAAGCTTTCAATGCCTACCACATTAGCTCTTATTATTAGCATTGCTACATACATCTTTTCAAATCTTCACAAACATCCAGCTATGTAATTATTATTTTTTTATCCTTCTTGAGACTTATTTTCCTGTTATATCACTTCCCTACAAATCACAGAGGTGAGATTTGAACCCAGAATTGCTGAAATCCAGAAGCCAGGGCACTAAGTACCCAGTTTAAGATGAACTGGGTGAGGATTAGGGATGACGATGACCGGAGGGCAGCAGCCACTTTGTCCTTTCCTCTGTAAAGCTCTTCCTTCCTGTTTGGAGCATCATTTTGATTTCACTTTTCTCCCAGCTTAATGGTGGCACACACCATTAGGCTCAAATAGGTAGACTTAAACTATTTTTTACATGCTTTTTGGCAAAATAAGATGCTGTATTAGACACCTTCAAGGCGGTATTTGTGAGCAATGCACATCTGATATCTCTAAATGCATCTGTATTGATGGGCTCTTTGACTACTTAATGTTTTAAGGTAATTAAACCACAAAAACTCATTGGAATAATGTTTAGGGCTGACTTAAACCCTTAAAAGCCATTAGCTGTTAACTGCCAAGTTGCTCTGAGTCTCTGCATGAAATTGAATCATATTTGAAAGGTTTTGTAGGCTAGTGGCAAGATTCATAAAACAACGACAGCTTTACATTTTTCATCACAAACCAGGAAATTGTAAGGAGGGGGGAGAACTGGATTTGGGAGAGAAAATGGCATTGATTTCTCATGCAGTGTTTCTCTAGAATCTTCAGCTAATTAACCCCATTTGGCCTTCATATGGTAAAATTGCAAATATTCATTTACCATTTGTTTAATTCAATTCAAGTCAAAGGGCAATTGTGTTCTACCTATTGGGGTTGGTAGGAGGGACAGAAAGATTATTAAGGCAATGGCCCTGCCCCCAGGTAACTTCAGAGTCCAGAGACAAGCAGAAAATAAACAGCTTTGAGTATGTGTGGTGAGCAAACCCATAGAGGAAAGTACAAAGCAAAAAAAAAGGAGAATTATGAGTGGAGTCAAGTAAGGCTTCACAAATGAGCTGTGTTTAAAAAGCTGATAGGAGAGGCCAGGTAGAAGAAGTAGCCAAGTATTTCAGAAGAAGGAAAAAAAAAATCCAACACACACAGGGGAAAAAAGTCATGTCACCAAATGCCTTTTACCACTGACTCAGTATTTTCCACTGAAATTAAGATTTCAGAGTACCTCGCACACATGGCTGTGTGTGCACACATACAGACTACATATTACACAAGCACTAGAGTAAGGTTCTGACGGTTAAGCAACTGGTCTTCTGATATAGATATGAGCACCTGCTGACCCTGCACACAGATGGCTCCCAAGTGGCATGGAAAACTAGGTGTTTTCACAGCTCTGCTCTCTCCTGGCCCCTGCTTCACCACCACTGCAGTTGGGGCAGACCCTGCCACCCTGTCTCTGCTCTCCTG